TTTAATTACGCTTATGATAACACGTGTAATCTTTCGACATCATCCTATATTCAGCGGTCACACCTAATAGCCGTATAGTAGGGTGAATCACGCTCATGATGCATATCTCCTACTCCAGTTAATCATCTAAAAATCACAATCGACTTCAGCTTAATTTTCGGTGCTACTGAGAAAAGCAGTTTTTGTAGCCCAGGTACTCAGTAAATGATGAATGGAAAATATAATTTTAAATATTTCTTTCAACCCCTTAGGGACTTAAATCAGTACTGTTCCTAATTCAAAGTTTAAACCCGTAAAGTCATTTTCAACTTCAATCAGACAATGTGTTTCATGGTATGCTAATCAATGGATTCCACCGCTAGCCGCCATCCATCTTTGCTTGTAATGCTTGTGACTTCAGGCAATATCGAGGAAATCCGCACAGGATGCACATATGCCAATAAGAGACTAATCACTTGCAGTCTTAAACATCAATAGGATTATTCAAACAAATGATACAAAATGAATCAATATAAATTTGTTTACATTCTCAAATAAGGTGCATAGTTTTAATAGTTTATGTATCTCACATGAAATTTCAGGGTTCTAAATTATAAAGGGATGTTTTCAGCTTTTCCCACGTCGTTTGCTACGTGTTCGTATATTTCGTTTTAGTTGGTATAATGTTATTCATATCCAAACAATTAATGTTGTTGTTCTTCATGAATAACATATAAACTTCAGACTTCTCTTTCGTTACGTCCACTTCATTTGTCATTATGTAGATTATACCATTCGTTTGTGGAATATAGCTAGTCACGTGCTCGTATGTATTTTTGGTGGAGCTGAAGGTCATCGAGCTGAAGTTTTACATGGTGACCTATCCCTTACAGGGGATCTTCTGCTATCTGCCGGTATGGATCATTGCGTGAAAATTTGGCGGCTTAATACTCCTGAATTAGCCAATGCGGTAATAGATTCATTTAATTACCGCTCACGTTCGAATCCTAAGTAAGTGACATATTACATTATCAAATGTCGCGAGGGTGAATATTCCTATTTTTCAGTGTAATCTGTTGATTTTAGTTGACAGTCAACTCACCATTTACACAAATTTTTTCTCTCCTACAAGTGGTGTCTTGTGTAACACAGTGTTTAATCGGTATCTCACTTAAATAATAACTCTAAGTCCTGGTTATAGTCTCTGACTCGAAACCACAATTCCCCTCTTGATTGGTTTGCTCATGAACTGTCACATAGGTACATGATCTGAATTCATCAAAAACCATCCAACATTACTGAAGAACCTCAAGTTGAGATTAGAGAACTTTAGATTTTTTACTAGTTCTCTGATCAATTTTTACTACTATTAGAAATATCCAAAAATTAATAGTTTATAAAATCCACCAAATCGAATCATTTATTCACTTACCGTTTTTCATATCTCATTCAAGACAACCAGGTCACTTGACCGAATATGCTAGAGAAATTCACTGGAAATAAGTGTTAAACTATTTTTTTTACTGAGTAAAATCGCTGAAAATGTAGAATCTAACATACATCCCGCATACTCGTTTGCAATTTAATTTCTATCAAGAATTTAACATTTAAACTATCCGGTGATTATCAATGTGAAACTACATAGTCACGCTTTCATAACAGGCTCCTACCTTTATTTCATTTAAAGATGTGTTTTGTATAAGGACAATATTCCTATTGTGACTGACTCCCTATAACACAGCTAGAACTCTGATTCTTTCTAAGACCAACAAGGACACATGTTATCATTCTATATCAAGTGTTTACTGGACTAATGCTAATATCCCCTCTGATTATGGGAAGTAAACAAGGTATTTCTAGGAACAAATTTCGCAAATAGTTTTCATCAGAAAATGATATCAGCTTGATTATCAATAAAAAGGTTGGAAACTCTAGATGACGGTTTCCGTTTCATCGAGGAGTCTTCAGTAGCGTGTCTTCGTGACTACATTTTGTGCTGCTTCAGGATTAAATGTTGTTATCCGTCGTAACAAGCGGTGTTTTGATATCTAAATGTACGAAAGAATCTCTTTGAGCCAACTGAACGGGGATAAACCTGTTTATCTGTTCTCAGTAGGACTGTAGTGAACGAGAACACAAATGGAGGGCAATCGAATGTATTTGAGCACAAAATTACAAAATCTCTTAGTAAAGTCTGAGAACCATACAGTAAATACTTAATTTGTAAACTGTCGATCTATTGTCTCAAACTTAACTGTTCCTTTTGCAAATATCATTCAATCGTCTCAGACTTCACTCTTCTTTCATTTCCACTGCAATCACTTACTGTTCTCGTTCCCATTTCTTCGATCTTCTTAACCATCTGCTGTCAGGTAATTCACTTTCGATTGATGATACATACTGCTTCTATCTGTTGACATCAGTAGCACACACCACAGGACCATGGGATGTAGTTAGGGAAGTATAGTATATATTCATAATCGGTTTGAGAATAAACTACTGTCTTTCGTTGTATTTATCCAGTATATCTTAATCATATGTACGCTACGCAGCGTCACTGAACCCATGATTCACTGTTATGCAACATCAAAGCCTTACCACTATGAATGTAGTTGCAGACATTCAGAAAATTATCTCGCCTAGTTATATAATAAATAAAACTAAACATTTCTGTTATCTGTGTTCTCACTGTTTTCATTATAATGAGCTATTTTTTTGCAACCATATTTCTCTCAAACCGCTATTTCGTAGGCCGTTCCCTGTGCTCGTTCAACACTTCCCTGAATTTAGTTCCCGTGATGTACATGGCAATTATGTTGACTGTGCCCGTTGGTTTGGCTCCTTAGTCATATCAAAATCGTGTGAAAACAGTGTCACACTCTGGAAGCCTGGTGGACTAGATGATTCCTCAGCAAATATTCCTAGTTTATGCAATGGGTCTCCAAGTAATACTGCAACAGATGTTGGTGGCCTGCGTTTGCCCAGTCGTATGCAACACATTGGCTCATACACAGGTCCTGAATCGCCTATCCCCCCAGCACCTGGTGTCCCAACCGAACACAAGACAAGCATTATCCATCAGTTAAAAGCTACTGACTGTAACTTATGGTATATTCGTTTTGATATAGATTTAAAGAATCATGTTCTGGCTTTGGGTACAGGAACTGGGCCATCACGTGTCTATTTGTGGGACTTAAAATATCCTGAAAATGCTCTTAATCTCCCAGCTCAAGTACTTCATTTCCCTACAGTTAGTGGAGTTGGTCCCGGTGGTATGCCTTTAAGTCACAGTGCCATTAGACAAACTCGTTTTGCTAACGATGGAGATATTCTTTTGTGTGTAGGTGATAATGGACTAATTGTTAGATTTGATAAAATATAAATCACTTTTGTATATTTCTGATTAAAACTAATTAAATATGTGAAAAGATGTTTATTAAAATAAGTGTTGTTTGATATTCATGGTAATTAAAGACAGTAGTTAACGCATTTACCAGGCACGTATTTATGTTCTCGTGGTTAGGCCACACCGTTTGTGTACACAAAGAAAAATAATATATTTGGAATTGACCTTAATGTCTTATTTATATTTATTATCTAAACACATAAACATTGGTACAAGGAGGCACCAAATAGATATACGCCACATATATCATTCGACTTGTGTGAGGGGTGGGATACTTTCCGGGTGCCCAGACCGAAACAGGTGGTTTACTTAGGTGGCCACATTCCGAGCCTTTGACCTAAACATTTAATCCACAAGGCAGTGGAGCAACGTAAGGAAATGCAGTCCCATGGTAGCCGACGACCAACAATTGGTTCATACGACATTTGTTGCTTCAGGATACTGGAGTCCGTGAGCACCATTGGTTTGGAATCAGGGTTTTCCAACTACCCTAGGTGGATCCTCCGTATCCACCAACCCGGTCAAAGTGCTGGACATTCGCTTTTCGTCCTCTCAATTTCGTAAACAACACCCCCGCCACGAGAAGGCAGTGAGTAGGACCTCCCTGACAGTGGTTGTATGCATGTGGCCTCTTGAGAGCATTTCGAGAGGGAGAGGTGACTCTCCTCACTCTCGGCCGTAACAGGTCTACTTTAATGTTTGAATTCGATTGGTAGAAATCTCGTCTCCTTACTATTGATTATCACCAGTGTATCTTCAAATATCGATAAAACATGAAACTGACAAAATTGTCTGAATGTTTGGCTAAAATTGAATTGTCACGAACATAAATGGAGGTGTCCTGTAGACCCTGAAGCTTCTTTTACGATGAATACGTTTCAAATGGCATTAGTAATATCTTTTATGGGAAGTCGAAGTAATTTACTTAAACGACAATGAGATTATTTACATCATGTTAATCTAGAGATAATTTTTACACGTTAACCCACTTTCACTTCTTATATTCGATAAAAGTCGTAGTGTTCATTCCAGTTTTTTTACCTTTAATAACACAAAATCATCTGCTTGTAGATAACCAGTTCATCATATCATCGCTTGTATAACGGTTAATCCAGTTGCACCGTACAAGAATATCTACATCCCTACTTCCAATAGTACATGATCAGAAATAAGTAATCATCCAGTGTTTCTGTAATGCTTTTCATTGTCTAGAATTCAATCAAATAATCACTGTGAAAAAACCTGGAATATTAAGGGGCAATTATTAATGACTAAAACGGATAACATTTTAGAATTCAGTGGTCTTTTCTTGTAGAAACTGATGTGTGATTTATTGAAATAACTGGTTGGTATATTGTTGACCGTCGATTTGTCACTTCACAACCTAATAACAAGATTTAATATCGGATGTTTTTTTACTTTACCACGTATAACAATTTCCTAATAGTTTAAATTTGAATTATATTCAAATTACATTACCACTTTCGTTCTTATTGTGTTGCACAAGGTCTTTTGAATTCCTTTCATACATAGATTACGAATTTTGCATCAGGTTACGATATCAATGTAGCAGAAACCTATAATATTGTGTTCAATAATTCTTCCTATAGGTTAGTCACCCGCTAAGCTTCATGGTATTAAATGGCATCACAATATCGTCGGTTATATAAGGAAAATTTGCTACGTTGGCCTCGTTTGTGGTAATTTTCTGTGAGTTTTCGGTAATTGTAGTGCTACTAGTAATAAGAAAATCTAGATATTGCATTACTTCAAATTTTGAGCCACTCATTGGTACATACTCTGTTTGACAAATACGGGGCGAATCTTTCACGATAACATGGATTTGAGATACAATCGCCGATATTTCTAAACTCTGACCAATTTGAAAGGTATTCTGTACATTTGCTAAATTTGTTAGTGACATAATTATCTCATTTTCACCAAAATACCAATGGAAATGTCTCTACCAGTAGTCATTGACGACTGTTAGATTGTTTTTTATTCAGGTTAGTGATATGGATAGTTCAATTATCTAAATACGACTTATGTAGGCGAGTAATGTTATTGAATAGCCTGAAATTAAAAACTCAACATTTGTGTTTAACCTAAATTTTTACATGGATCTGATGCGATACTTTCATGTTTGAAACTTAAACAATGCTACCATCTGTTACTTGGTTTGCAGTATCTTTCCAACTATTCCAAGAAAATTTACAGTTTAGTCTTATTACACGCTAAATTTATATTGCTATCTTTGAGCAGGTGCCGATTCTTTCCAAAGTTAACAAGCTTTTTGTTAAGGTATATCAGAAAGAACTATTATAATGTTAACTGATAAAAATTTCAGCAGTTTGTTCACTAACATCCCTCTGACTGAAACTATCGATTACATATGTGAACAATTGCTAGAAAAGAAAATAGAGATACCGATCCCAGTAAGTAAAATGAAAGAACTATGAATATCTACTTTAAGTTTAACAATGCATTTTTCAGGCAAGTAGATGGGGTAGTAATGGGATCACCTCTGGGACCGATCCTTGCTAATATTTTTCTGGTCAAGCTAGAAAATGGACCGCTTAAAGACATCCTAAGTAAGCTTGATTATTACTGTCGATACATAGATGACACACTAATCATATGTGACGAAAATATCGACAAACAGATGTTGGACTCTTTCAATAATGTCCACCTAGCCATTAAATTCACCAGCGAGGAGGAGAAAGACAATAATATTGCTTTTCTGAATGTTCTACTTTCTAGAAGGATAGACGGTTCCATAAAGCGAAATGTATTTAGAAAAAGTACATGGACGGGTCAATATACCCATTTCCAAAGCTTCACACCTCTTCAATATAAAATAAAATTGGTTTAATGTCTCAACCACAGAATCAAGCTATTATGTTCTGAAGACAGTGTGGATGGCAAAATAGATATACTAAAGAACACATTACGAAATAATGGCTATCCTAATAATTTCGTTAAGAAATACCTCGTATAAAGTACTAAAAAAAGAAGGAATTGTGACACAGTCAGTAAAAGACCTTATATCTGAGACTAGACTTTAAAGGGGACGTAGCGGGTGATGTTTTAACACGTCGACTCAAAAGATCTGTCGAAGGGACGTTTCACGCCGCCAAGCTACACATTATTTTCTCAACTAAACCAGTACTCATACAACTAATCGAGGATAGGTTACCGAAGATGGGTTCTTCCATGTGTGTATACCAATTCAACTGCTCCTGTGGAGCTAGTTACATAGGCCGTACTCAGAGGGCTTTATCCTTGCGTGTTCGTGAACATGTAACAGCATGGTTGGGGAAAAAGTTACCAAATCGATTAACAGCACCAGTCATTCTCACTTGGTAGATAGTGAACATCATATCAAAACAGAGGAAGCTTTTTCTGTTTTATATCAAGTTCCAAATTATCTACCTCAAGGAGCTAGATTACGACTGCTTTATATAGCCGAAGCAATCTGGATCGACTCCAGAAGACCAAACTTATGTATCCAGAAAAAATATATCCAGCCTCTTTGTTTACCTTGGCCCACGACTGGATCACCGGATACCTAAACTGAATATTATAAACATCTTACCCCCTCTTTTTTATTACCTCTATCTTAATCTTCACATCCATCATTCCTAATTCGTTTATCGTAATTACCTTGATATCACCCTCCTTATTACATATTATATTCACACACCAATCTTATTATTATTGTCTCAATTGACAAGATTAAGTTCTCGTACTATGCATTTTATTCACACAAATTTTTTGCATTTTCAATTTTGCTGCAATACTATTCTATTTATTATGACTAAACACTACACCAAATCATCCTGACCTTTATTGAATGACCTTTCTAATTTGCAAATAATACAATTTTGAAGTATATATATATCGTAACAGATGCAAACATGCACCATTTTTAACGCATAACATTGTCAAATTCATTAATACATGCCTTATTTTTTTGCCTTTGTAAAATATTATAATTATGGACTTATAACTTTAGAGCCTGATGATGAAGTTATTGAAAACAATTGTTCGCTCAAATATTCTTCATTTTTGATAAAATTTTGTTTTATTAGGATATAATCAGTGCAGAATAAGTTCTGTTCCTATTATCAGATATAGTAATACACGGATCTATAGGTGATAGTAATCTTAATATCCATTCGAGCTGAGTAATCGCCCTTTCAGTTTTAATGTTTAACTGGGTCGTTGGATAGTTTCTCATCTTCATCATTTCTTTGACCTCAATTTTTGATTGAAAAGCAATAAATTGTAATCTAGATGCCATATTTCTCTAATATAATGCTGATTTATCAGTTAGTCGGAAGGATCATCAGATTTCGGTGACAAAATGAACTCTAGGAAACATGCACTTCACATTTGATACTGTAAAAAAAACCTAATGAATGGCTACATGAATCCTTACATCCCGATGAACATAGTTGGGTCGTAATTTGTGACTTATTAGTTTCAATTTGTGCAGAATATTAAGAAGCAAATACATATTTGAAACCATCAGAGCAAGTCATACAACACTTTTAAATTGTATCGATATATGTAATTTTCCTACTGAAGATGCCACAGGTGTTCGGAGTTTGACAACGCTTTAACCAGTAACACCTAATGTGAATCGTACTCACCAAGTGAGATCAAAAGACAAGCGAGGATGTTCGAAGATATATTTGACAGGCTATCGAAGATCGTCTGATCTAATCTGGCTAGCGACTGCAGGGGTTGTTGAGCTCGAGGTTCCTGCTCGTGATCTGGTGCGGATGCATGACCGAGCGCCTTCAGCTAGTTGAGTCCATTAAGACATGTGGTCGGTATCCAATGCTGAAAACTTACAGAGCTATTTATTTTGGGGATTTATTTACCGCTACACTATTAATTGATAATATCGCTGTACGTGACTACGCATCTGGTTTGAATCCCAAATACCATATGTTCGTTTGTGCTCACGAACTTCTTTATAACTCATATACTATCCCATACGTGACTACTAAAGTACGAATCGGACAGTGCTGAGAATTACTAGTTGACATACCGAATCTGGTTATTTTGACATTCACTAAGTAACATTATGTCAGTAGTTTGAAGTAGTGATTTAAAGAAGGAATATTCTAAATACAGCCTGCACAAGTCCGGGTTTCGTCTCGTTTCTCTTTAGGCAAATGTAATCTGCATGCTTTAGCTTATAGAGCCGGTGAAATATTACTGAGCCTTAGCCAAATCCTCCAGCAGTCGGGCCACTGTATGTCATACTGTTCACCGATCCTCGTAAAGATCAATGACAACTACCGCACATCAGTTAAATGCACGCCATGGACTGGTTCATGCGGCAGTGGTTGCATTCTGTTTCTTTGTGCGTTGTACGGTAATCAACGTAACAAAGTGCTGGGATACAACGGCATCTTAAACCACGTTAGGTACTAACCGTGGGGTTTGACTCTGATGTCGGCTAGTTAATCACATCGTGCTCGTCTAGCTCGAGTAGTCCCCCAATCATTCGACAAAGATATATAGTTATCTGTGAATATCTGTACATATTTGATGGTTATGGTAGCCCTCTGAGTTACAACTTCACACGATAAAACGGTTTTAATGTTTGTATTGGAAATACTGACTTTGGCCTTGAGTAAAATTTACTCCATGCACTGGTATTTGTTAGGACTCATTACCCATTGACACTTTGGGGTATTAGTTCTTTCATTCTTTTTTGATTGTCCTCCATGGGAGTTTTATCTTCATTGAGTAGATCTTTTAAGGGTTAAAACTTTTTGAATTCGCTGAGTTAGTTAACCTTTCAAAGGAAAATTGTAAAAAATTGTTGTTTGTCCAGTGCTTCTTCAATTAAGACTTTAGGAAGCCTAGTAATATGTGATTGTTTGAAGAAATATCAACTCCGCTATGTTTTTAAACCTTTAAAATGTGTTTGATAGACGAGCCCACCAATAATAAGGGAAACGCCCACCATCACATCAACTCCTTTTGACCTTGTACAACTGGATCTCTTTATTAACCAATCACAGTTTAATGTTCATTGTAAAACAATATTTGCTTTGTCGACTCATGTTTCCTATTCTCTGGCTACTGTTCGGTATGTTATTTGTCTCTGTTTTTCCCTGTATTAATAGACCGTACTGTTTGTTTGTACACTAACGATGTTAATTTATGTTTTAGAAACAGATAAAGTTTATATAGCCAAATAGCTTACTTGTTCTGACTTTGGCTAAACCAAGACTCTGTACTCGACAGTCTAGAGATTAGCTTAGAGTTGAATCTTTGGGAAATTGCTTCCTACAAAGTTTCGAACAGTACATCCGATATACCTACTGAAATGACTTCCAATAAACACTACGATTCCGATGAGATTCCAGAATTATCACCACATCACTCGGTAGTTTATGACAAGGATCAACTTGGAAAGAACGAACTCATAAACAACAACATGATAGAACTAGAATTAGCTAGGTTTCGCATAACACAGTTAGAAAAGGAAATTGAACTAGAAAAATTACGCTGCCGGAGATGTGAAGGTTCAGGCCAATCAGTAAGCAACAGTGAGAATACAATATAGCTTACTTGTTCTGACTTTGGCTAAACCAAGACTCTGTACTCGACAGTCTAGAGATTAGCTTAGAGTTGAATCTGTGGGGAATTGCTTCCTACAAATCCTTTTAAGGACTTACTAACTTTGCTTATTGATTCAGATGTGATCGACTTTGTTCTTCGTATTGTGGTGATTTGAACCATAAATGGCTACGTGTGTACTTATGTGGGAGGAAAAGCTCTCTGTTCTAACCATTTTTTTCGAAAGCATATGTATTTATCAGCCTTTCACCATTCTCGTTCCTTTCTTTCGGTTCATGTCACTTCACGATATTTTTATGCCTAGTGCTGTTTGTGCCT